AACTCAAGTGCTTGTGCTCTGACATAAATGATCCAGAGACTCTTTTAGCTTTATCCTAAACTGAATGTCATGAGCCAGCTGTGCACTCACTGCATCTTTCTTTAGGAGGTTTGCAAGCTTAAGAATCCTAAATGACAAAGAAATCAAACTAGGGGGACTGCCATTAAAGCCACTCACACAAAAAATTAACTTCTCTTAACACAGAAACAGAAGCCGCAATATGGCAGTCAGTTTTGTATTTAGAAATTAAATTAGTGAGAATGTTGTCAGTTTTTTTCAGAGATGATACATTCTTCGTGGATATTTTTTGTATTGTTGTTTGAAATATGCATTCCCAAATGTGAAATATAGGTGTGAACATTGAGTACCAGTTGAAAAAAAAAAAAAAAAACCAAAAAAACCCAACAAAAAACAAAACAACAAAGCCAACCAACAAAATACATAAAACTGTGACAGTGAACAGATGCCTAGAGAGAATGGGAACAGAGAAAGTGTAAGTACACTCCTTCATCCCCCTAATACCAGCCTCCCAGCATCCAGCTATTTTCAGCTCAAGAGATGTGCTCCCTATAATAGTATTTTCCTTCCCTTACCCATACAGCAAGATGTCAGCTGTCAATGATTTTCAGCAATGATCTAGAAGGATTTCTAATTTTAGATGAAGATGGGATATTTCACACTGGTTAAACTTGCCATGAACAAAAAAGAAAAGCAACAAAACACAAACACCCCCCAAAATCCCCCAAACATGTCAGGCTTTCCAGAGACAAAATGCTGCCCAGTTTTTACACACATCTGTCAGTCAGCCAACGAAGTAGGAGAAGGAAACGGTGACCATAGATTCCCCAGTGAGAGCCAGTTTTGCATTTGCTGCTGTATGCAAAAGGTGTGTAGGCTCAAGTCCCTTTCATACTCCCTAAGAGCAAGACATTTTATATATAGACAATTACTTAGATCTTTATTTTTGGTTATACATGGCATTCACCTCCATAATTTATTGCCCTTTGTTAACTACAGCAGTTACGTTTATGCAAAAGCAGAAGAAGGTATGAACACCCAGGAACCATCATGGGTTTTCACAATGTACTGCAGAAGGAAAGCAAGCAGTTGTGTAATTATTCCAGCATGACATGTTCATGCATAAAATTAGGCCTTCTCTCCAAGCACTATCTGTCAATAAGCCCTGTAAATCTATAGGAGAGCTGTTCACGACACATTCAATTTTGCCTATCAGTACGATGTCCAATTACTTGAAAAAGGGTGAAAGACTTTATGCCACATCTAAACATGATAGACATAACCTTTAAGTACTGGCAAATGCCAAGATGTTGCTGGCAGTAGGCATTCCGAACATGTTTGTGTTTTCCTTTGTACATGCTTTTCCTCTTTTTTTATATAAATGCAAATTGTTAAGTATTTTAAAACCCTGCATTACCACACCCCCAAGGAGCAAGTTCAGAAAATGGAAAGAAGTTTTACACTACCTAACCTTCTCTAATACATTTAACATAATGTAGCATTTGTTACTGCCACGGGTATTAAAGTAGCATTTCCCTGACCCCCAGTTTCAGCATAGAAGTATCAAGTTGTAACTTCAGCATTAAGTCCAATCACTGAGACGTGCACAAAAGGAAAAAAAGGTAAAATAATTTTGTTGTATTGTCCAAAGTAAAATTCATCAAAAGCCTCTGCTCTATCTCCAAATTGTAAAGCTGATCTGTACCTCAAAGCCTTTTGAAAGGCCAGCATGTTTTTCTTCTTAATACTTCCCAGCAGGGAGCACAACAGCAGGTCTAGTTTATCTTAATTATCTCTCTTTATCTCCACAGGAGAAAGAAATTACTGCCAGTGTGTTGCTGGCTAGAACAGAAGTTGAAGAGCACAAGTCATCTCCATTTCTCCACAACTATTCCTGTGGCTCAGGTAAGTGCAATGGAAAAACCTGAGAAATGAAGTGGAGACCAGGAGAATGTATTTCTGTTGTTCTGGGTTGCATGCTGTAACTGGAAGTTGACAGTCAAAGTCACAGTGAATGTAGAAGAGAGAAAGAATGTTTCTGTGTTTTATCCTTACTTACCATACAGGAAAACAACAAAGAAAAAGCTGGTTGCAGTGATGGAAACAGCATGCTCTAGTAAAGACAGAACATTAGGAAACAGTCTCTGAGTTAACCAGAAAACAAAGATAATGAATACTAGGGATATTTGCAATGCTGACTGCCCTTAAGACAAAAAGAGACTTTCAGAGTTTCCGTTGTATAGGGCACTGTGTATGTGCTAGCCCATTATGCGCTAGTTGCTGTCAGTTGTTGACTTTTCGTGAGAAACTGCTGCTGCTTTTCTTTTGGCTAGCTTAAAGAGCAGGTATCTTGGGGTTTATATTCCTAAGAAGATGTTGTAGTCTTTGATTTGATATGGCTTACTGGAAATTGTGCTTTCATTGCTTTGTGGCAATTTTGGCTGCATCTTTAATAGTGTCGTGGCTGATTTTAATGTGCCCTTGCTTTTGGCTCTTTATTATTAGAGGAGTCCCATTCTGTTTTCAGCAGGGCATCACAAGGATGTGCTGCCTTAGGATTCTGATAAACTGCCCACAGAAGTTGATGGGAACTAGAACAGGATTCTCATGTGTTTCCTAGGCCTTCATTAATGAAGCAAAAGTAAGATCGTAACATAAATCTGAGCTACTACTTTCTCATGTACTTTGTTACTCTGTGGTGATCTTTCCAAGACTGCCTTTCTGTTAACTTTTCATGGCCCTGAGGAACAAACTTTTGGCATCATTTACATCCTAATTGGAGCTAATAATTTAGCAGTAATTTCCAGAAGTGTTGATGGAAATATTTAGCATGTAAGTCTCAGCAGAACTACTTTGCAGAGGTAAAACAGAAAATTATAAGTCTGCCAGTTCATACCAGAAACTTTGCTCTGACTGACCTTGTATCTGCTCCACATGTTGAATAACCATAAACAGCACAAAATCACTGCCTCACTGACCTGAACTAGATTATTATTATGAACCTTCCTCTGTTGAATATTGTATATGAGATAGTAAAACTGAGTTCAATCACCTTTTGTTCCCATTCCACTGATAGTTACTGATGGTGAGTTATTTTTCCTTGACATTAAGAGCTGGATTATTTGCTGGTGCACAGCAAAGTCCATCAGATCAGCTTCAGGGACTGTGGCAACCTGCAGGTCTCCATTATATGGAAGGCTATGGTTAGGGCTTTTTTGTCCTTGCTCTCTTATGTAAAGGCGCAGTCAGCAGACTGGGTCATCACTAAAAAGGAAGCTCTGGGTGTAAGATCCCCCAGTTCAAAGGGAAATCTTAAGCAGACCATAAAGCTAAATAGATGTTGATGAGTAGCCTCTCCTTTATCCTCATGCAGTGAAGGATGGATTTACAGGACTGAAGTCAGCAGGAAACCCTTTCAAGCAGCTTTGAAAATTTTAGCCAAGAAGCCTTTTCTAGCAGACTTTTGGCAGCATATGTGCACCCTTCTGGTTTCCTTTTTGACAAGGTTCATGCTTCACATAGTGAAGGATTAAAAATCAAAATACGAGTAATAATAATATATTAATTTCAAAAGCTGGCAAGCTTTTTCCCTCCAAATCAGGAAGCGCCCTTGAGCCAGCTGGACAGACTGAGTACTGGCTATCGATGCTATTTTCCAAGGCAGAAGTCATTTGATTACCTCTTTCAAGCATAAATCTTTATCCTTTATCTCTTTGAAACATGATCTGCATCTTGTAGCTGTCTATAAAAAACTAAGACCCTGATTCTGATAGGGGCTTTTAGGACGATATAGCTGATAAATCCAAGTGATGATAAAAATGATGACTGCTTTAATAAGTTGTAAAACTCCTACTGTTGGCCTGTAGCCAGCAAGTGAATTGGTTGCCTATTTCACTGTTCTGAGAATCCCACAACAGTCTGACAAATCTAAATCTTATTCCAAGGCGTGTGTTTGAAGTTACAGCCATATAGGCCTCCAGGACTAGTGGCCCAGTATCTGGCCATGGCTTTTATGTCAGAAAGCATGGGGAGGCTTCATAGCAGCAACAGTAATGAAAGTGACTGTCTAGAAAAATATCCACATCCAAAATACTTACCCACCTGCAGTTTACCAGTGATGGCCCAAACAAATTGCAGTTTGCTGAGCTTTTCTCCTATGAAAAATGCAAAACCATGGTGGGAAAGAGCGGCTGAAGCATTGGTGGCACTTTTCTTCTGAAGAAATGGGGTAGGGATAGCATATGTACTTCTCTGGTAAGCAAACCTTGGTTGATGTGGGGATCTATGCTTAGTGAAAGGAAAGACTCCATTTTGTACTATGTGCAACTCCTAATTCTGTAAAATGACAGACCATGCATCGTTCATGTCTGTGGTTCATGCTTAAGACTGTTAGACAGCTGTTTACTTTGTGCCATATTTACTTCTGTTGCTGAAAGTCCGTTGTTATAGATTATGCAAGAAAGTTGTTCTAACTTTTACTAAGAGCTGGAGACATCCACTTAGACACAACCATCAAGAACCATTTCCTCAGTCTACTCTTCTGCACATGTGAACCATTTTACAATCCAGGGGAAGAAAAGCTATCCAAGCTTTACAGTTCTTCCTTCTCTCTCCGTGGAAGGCCTGTTTTCTTCCATAACTGGCTCTATGGCATTTCCAAACAGCTGAGTGTTTTCACTCTTTCTAGATAGATTTTTCTAAGGAATCGGAACTCTGCTGCAGCATTACATTAAAAATAAATAAATAAATAAATAGAACGAGCACTTCCACTACAAGCAGTTTTTGCTCTTTCACTGCAGCATGGCTCCCATCCAAAGCCAATTATGTAAACCAACAGCACCTCAGCACTGTTACCACCAGCCATGTAAAAGGAAGAATCACACCTACTCAAAGCTGAAAGCATTTTCAAGAAATTTAATTATTTCCTTACTTTCCCACCTCAAGCGTACTTTTTACCTTACTTCAATCTAAAACGCCTTGGGTGTTATTCATCTAGAACATATGGAGCACTATATAAATCCAAGTTGTTGCTAATTTTACTTAAAAGTCAGGTTTTATTTTCTGTTTTTGCTTCTGCCTGTTTACAGTCTTTGAAACATCTTTTTGCATTGCCCCAGATGTCGCTTCTCGCACTGCTTCATCTTTTGTACATGCTAATCTTACCTCCTCAGTGCATGTGATATTTTCACTTCATACAGTGATGGGGAGAAATGTAATGCCAAAAACTGTGAAAGAAAATGGCAAAATGATTTAAGTTCATGCGTCTAAATTCAGTATCAATTAAGTTTAATGGTCAAGATCCTTTCATCGATTTATGAAACTGTGTAGATCATGATTTCTAAAGGAAAAAGTGACTTTGAGACAGGTCTATCTAATAGAGAGATTTCTCTTTATTTTACAGCTCACTGTCTCAACTTTAACATACTGTGGAAATAATTTGTAGCCTTTGTTATCATATTAGGCTTTCAATGATATTGGTCAAGAATTCCAAGTAAGCTGATAACAGCTGCTGGGAAAGCATGTTCCCTGTGCTGCAGTGAGCTATAAGATGGAATAATCGAAGCATGATTTACTTTCATATATGGCACCAGTGGGCTCTCTAGAATAGCTGTCAGTTATACTCTGGAGGTACAGCAAGTTGTTAAATGTCGGCCAATGTTGTGGTGGTCTCCTAGCATGTTTTTCATTTAACAACTGGAATGCCCAGCAGGCTGTACTCATTTCCAGAAAGAGTTCTTCAAAAGGAAATAATCTCAATTAAGATGTATAATGTTTCATATACAAACAACACATATTTTAGCATAAATATTGATGCTGGTTCATGTATGCAGTCATTATACTTCCTAAATGAAAAATTATTAAATGATTTGTCCATGACACTGATTGGTGAGTGATTTCTCCCTGTCCTTAACCCACAAGCCTTTTGTTACATTTTCTTCCCACTGTCCTGCTTTGGAGAGCAGTGACAGAGCAGCTTTGGTGGCACCTCGTGTCCAGCCAGGGTGAACCTCAGCACAGACATAAAAGGTGCAATATGACTGTGTTGTGGGGAACTTCAGAAAGCTCAGTAAGGTCCTATCTCAGCGTATCATTATGCTCAGCAGTACCTGTTGTTGCAGGTAATATGCTGTTTGCTTGCTGTCCCTGTTTGAAGATCTGTGTGTGCAATGCTGTTAAGGCCGTGGAGAGCTCCATCAAGGAAAAGAGTAGTTCCTTGGCTTAAAAAACTCAAAGAGGCCTTAAGAAATCCTGTTAGTTCTGCACAAACACAGCAGCACTAAATTATAACCCAAGAATTTTACCAGGCTCACTCAAGTACAGCAAATAGGCGCTGGAGGGTAAAGAGGGATTTGCTTTCCAAACAGCTAGGAGAGGCATTCATTTCACTACATTAAACAAATATCAGTCTGTTGATGACAGTAAAAGTCAGTTGGACATCACAAGCTGTAACTTGTACTGTGGGCTATTCAGGACTTGGCATCCAAGGAGGAACTGAAGAGAGTACAGCAAAGCTATAGAAAAATGCAAGAGATCGGTGGGTTTTGGGTCAGCAAGATCCAAGCACCACGCCATGAAGATGGAGGGCAGGTTTCTTCCATGCACCAGAACTAATGTTGATAGTGCTACACTGTTCATTCATGGTCTCCTGAGAGACTATCTGCCTACAGAAGAAGCGCAGCATACAGAGGATTCTGTGCAGGAGAAAACTTTGTCTTTACTTAAGGTTGTTAAAATGACTGTGGACATCAGGAGAGAACAGTCCCTGGACCATGAAGAAATAGGAAAGGAAGAAAGGGGGAGGGTGCATTTAGAGGAGGAAGACTTTTACATCCTCTTTGCAACATGATTTTGAAAGTCCCAGGCAACCTGGCCAGAAATAGGCAGGTGATGTTCCTGATACAGTTTGGACTCCCCTCAGCTCCCATGGTATCTAAATTCCCAGACAGGCATCCTTTCTTGCCTGCAAATATACTGGCTTAGTCTTAGTTATTGTAGAGGGCTCCCCAGTGCCTGACCAAAGGTACAGAAACTCTCCTACTAGGAAAGAGGAACCAGGCCCAGTTCATCCCTTGTGTGTAGGAGTGCAAAAAGCACCCGTATCATCCTAAGAGAACTCTTACAATGCTTTCTGTAACCCTGCAGCACTGTATATGACTAACCCCTACCACTCGTCTTTCTTACTCCTTGTCTAGATGATGGCTGCAGGTGACCTTGAATCTCTCAGTCATGCACCTTCAAAGGGACACCAGTTATCTGTAATACAAGGAAAGGGAACTCTGACACACTGAATGATAAGGAAGATTTCCAGGAATGATTTCCATCAACTACTTATTCTTAATGTGGCCTGAGATTGAGGATTTTGTCACCAGCCACTCATGTACTGAATATTCTGTCAACCTGCAGAATGATACTGTGAGCAATCTAGGAGGCAATAGGGCATTCCATTCCAAATATCAAGTGGGAAGGTCCCCCTTGATTTGTCATCTCCAACTGATTTCAGGGGGGCTGGATTTCCATTCCCTCCCTAACTCTTGCCCTGTATTCTTATATTCCCTGCTCTCCAGTACTAACACATGCTTTTTTGTGGAATTTAAGGCCTTCTTTAATTTGGGGTTTTTTTAAGTATAGCTGTCCTTCCTGATAATGTAGACACCCCTGCAATTACAAATCAGAGCACACATACCACCAGGATCAAGATAAACTTTCTGATTAAAGAATTGTTGCTCCAGGCTTGTATTCTTCAGTGAATTCAGACCTTAAAGAAACTTTACCTGAGATTTGCAGGAAAACTCTGGTGAGGCCAGTATTTTAGTACTGCTCTTGAATCCCAGCCTGGTGGTTCTTTCTGAAGACTGTCATTTTGCTGGTGGCATTAGTGCTTGTGTGGTTGTGAGAGAGAAGTTGGGATGAACTGGCCAATATTAATATCAGTACACAAACATGCAGACTTCCAAAAAAAGAAGAAAGAAATGTAACTTACCTAGCAGTAATTTAGAAAATCTGATTTCTTATTTGTTCCAGTGATGAGAGGCATTTTCTTTGTCTCAATCTACTTCTCAGCAGGGTCCTACACTGATGAAGTATCATCAAATTGTCAGCTTCCACTGAGAGAGACACCCACACGGCTCACTGATTGGAGAGATGGGAACAGTGACAGGTGTTTCTAAAAACTGTTCGGTTTTAAAATTAAAGGAGAAAAAATATTCCCTTTGTGGAACACGTATCTAAAATAGAACAAAAATAGAAGTTAGCCCATGAAAATTTTGTTGGGACAGACTGAAGAAGACAAATGAGTCTAGTTAGTGTAGCAAGGAACTAGGTGGCAAAAGTTTAAGGAAGTCAACCTTGGTGCAAAGGACTTCATTCTAGGTTAGCTGAAGTCTTGAGTAAAGTGAGGCTGCTGTTGGGGTTCATCAGCTGATAGGATGCTGAAAATGGGTTAATTATTCTTATGAATAACAACGGTACCTGCACTTACATGGGCTAGGATGAAAATGCAAAATTTATGCAGTACTGGTAGCACCACTTATTATTCAAACTGAAAAGCTCTGCTCACAGCAAAAAAACATATTTCATTTGCCTTATTAACCATTTCAGAGGGAGAAATTCTCATAGATATTGTTCCTCAGCAATCTCCTCAGCTAAATGGGGGCAATGCCAAAGCCCTCCTTTTCCACAGATGAAAACAGTGTTTTAATTTATGTGAGGTCCACAGCTGCTGAAGTTAGGAATGTGACAAGAATGTCTGTGATAAGATGAGTAATCCTACCTTCATCATGAAGTGAATAGTGTTCAATAAATAAGCCTGGGACCACATAAGCAGAGAGGAGAAAGAACAACGTTAAACAGCTTCTTGTGCAGTGGTTCTTTTCCGTCCCCTGCATTGTGAGATACAGGCCCTCTGGGGACAAATAATATATGCTCATGCAATTAGAGAATGCGTGCACACAGGAGGGTTAATTAAGGTCACACATTTCTGACATCTCCTAACTGCGTGTTTGAGTCTGGAGTCTCAGAGTTGTGTGTTCCAGGTGATTGTTTTTAACTTTTGTGTTTGTCTAACAGAACATAAACTGTATTTGTGTTCTAAGACCAAACAACCATTCAGTGTCCTCTCTTGCCTAACCCCGTTGAAGCCCCCTCTTCCCACCAATGCAGGATCCCTTTTACAGCGTAGATCATGGTCAATTCCCTTAAACATCAGCTTACAGACGAATGAACAATAAAAAATAAGTATTTTCTATTTCTTTCTGCTACTCTGGGAAAAACAACACCAAAGCTGAACAGCCACCAAAAAACCCTCAAAACCAAGTCTTACCTTTAATGTAGGGGTATGCTAAAAACACGACTGGTGTGAGGAGGCAATTGAGTGAAAAGGGAGCATGGAGAGTGTTCATGGTAGACTACTGTGCAGTTCTTTTGTGTAGAACACAACTGAAAGGTGCCATATACATTGGATAGATGCATGCCAACTGAGCAAGGATGTCTGATCCATTCTGTGCTCAAAATAATTCACCTTGTCTGTCATGTAAGGACCAGATGCCTTCTCTGAACCCCCTGGGTAAAGGGGCTTTTCACAGGCTATGAAGAGCACCAGTCTGGCACCTCCACCAACTGTCCGATTGGTTGCTGCCACTACTGCAGCTGAGGAGCTGCTGCTGCAGCCAGGAACTTTGTACTCCGCCTATCACTATTAGGCAGATAAAGCAGTTTAATTACATATCCTGTTGTTTCTCTGTTTTCATCCCCATTAGCCTTCTTTTGAACATACCTGACCCCTTTATCATGGAGCTGAATAGTTCCACTATATTTAAGCCTCCCAGGACAGCTCTCGGTAGTAAATTTAGGCCAGACTTCTTCCTGTCTCTCTCCAGTAATTTTTCCTCCCACCATTCTTACCTCATGTGCAAACCCCCCTGGAAAAGTCTTGCAGAAGTTAAGAGAGATCAAACCTGTAGGAATCTATAGAAGCGTAGCAGTCCTCTCTTCTGGAATTGAAATAGAATGCTGTCTTCTGCAACCTGTTTGAGCCATCCTACCGGATTATATTATTTGACAAAGATGTTAATTGTATTCTGTTCTATAGGATCTTCAAAATGTAAGGAAAGGTTATCATTGTCTCTTCAATTCTGCAGGGCTTTACCACAGAAAACGACATCACAGACTGTATAATGCAGTAGCCACATGAAGTATGCCCATGTCTCTTTTGTTAGGTGTCTTTTTTTATTTTTTGTATGAATTATTTATTACTCATTAATACCAGGGGAAGTGAATTGTGCTCCTGTAGAAGACCAAGAGAATGACAGAGGCAGCATGGAAATAATTACAGGAGTGTCTGAGTTCTCGGTATGTCTGTAAAAACGATTTAGTTGGTTGTAGAGGAAAAAGGAGGATGCTTTATGTCTGGTTTTGTAGGAAGCTCAAATACCTTGATGATGAGTGCTGTATAAGTATCATTATACAGTATGTAAACCTCATTTTGTATACTGATAATGAGCGTAATACACAGACACTATAGTCTGACATAGTGACATCAAATCTTAGGTGTCCTGGAATTTGGTGGGATGAAATAATCGTGGCATATGTATGTGAGGAGCTGAGCAAAAAGCAGGACAGCTGCCCATCTGCTCCTCAGTAAATCCACTGTGAAATGAGGAAGGGATCTCCAGGCACCAGATTCTTGCTCCTGAGCTCCACGTTGTGCTCCACCTGCAGAATATTTGAGCACCATCCCATAGGCAGGACCTTAAAATTTACTTTGCTTTTGCGATTCTCAAAGAGTTTTAATCTGTCCTGGGTACTGCTAAAATACTTAAACCTAACCGATTTTCATGCATCAGGGATACAATGCACTCAGCACACCCCTCATAATTATCTTGACCTTTTCTGTCAGGTGACCCCCACAGGCTAGCACCAATGAATTTAGTAGTGAACTCTATCCTTTTAAGATAACCCAGTGTCTTAATTTCCCTTCTGTAAGCAGTTTTACATTTTTTGGCCCTATCTTTGAAGGGCTGTTAGTATAATTAGCTGCTAAAATAAGTCATTCTTAAAAATGCAGGAATAAAACAACAGAGCAGTAGAAAATAGGTGCATCTTGGGGAGCTGTCACTGCAGAGAGGATGTGGCTGATCATCTGAGTGACATGAATAGACAAAAGGGTTATGGGGGGTTATTTTCAATAGATAAAGAGCAAATGTCTTTGCACTCTAAAAAGCTCTTGGTTTAGATTAAAGGAAGCAGAGGGAGAGGGTAAAAGGGAGATTGAACCAAGTAGGTGGAGCTATGAAGCAATCACACTTGGTTTCTTATGGGGCTTGTGGAGGGGCCCTCCCACTTTGCCCATGTCCTGGTTAGCTGTCCAGTATAAAGCACCAATAGGTATCAGTACAGAGCTACTGACAGCAATGGGAAGTAGAAAAATTAAGAGAGAGCTCTGTGTGTAAGTGCACGTATGTGTATAGATGATTTGTGCTGTGATAGTGACTGCAATGGACATAGCTCAGAAGGAGCGTTCCCTGAGGAGTGGCTGCAGTATCGCTTTAAGCTTCAATGGCACAGTATGTAAAAACCCCACAAACTGCAGGCACAGATTTACATATTTAGCCTGTACCATTAACGGCACAAACAGCCAGTGTCAGCAGCAGAAATGGGGAGAGGGGAGACGGGAGACTGGAAGATTATGTCAGTAATGCTTAAACCTCCTGAGTGGCCACAGAAAAAAAAATAGCCCTGTGCTACTCCCCCCTGCAGCCTTGTCCTCTTCTCTGCACAGGCACCATCTGATCTTGAAATAGTTTTAAAATGTCCAATGACATTTTAATGAACCAATCCAGTGAGGAAATTGCTGGTGTGGCTTCAATGGGAGATCGGTTCCTATTGTATACAATACTGTATGGGTTTGTCACAGAAAGCAGAGAAAATTAATAGCTCAGCTCACTATTAACATGAGGTTCTAAATTCTTTAAGTAAAATCAAAACCAAAGTGGATTCTTTGCACTCTTCCCCTGCTCCAGCATGGGACCCCTCCCACAGAAGACAGTCCTCCATAAACATGTCCCACCTGAGTGTTTCCCAGGGGCTGCAGATTTTCCTGATCTGCTCCAGAGTGTGCTCCTTCCACAAGGTTCAGTCCTTCTGACACAAGCTGCTCCAGTGTAGGTCTCCCACGAGACCTGCAGCAAACCTGCTCCAGTGTGGGTCTCCCATGAGACCTGCAGCAAACCTGCTCCAGCATAGGCTCCTCTCTCCATGGGGCCACAGGTCCTACTAGGAGCTTGCTACAGTGCAGGCTTCTCATATGATCACAGTCTCCTCTGGGCACTGGCCTGCTCCGGCGTGGGGTTCTCAATGGGCTGCAGGTGGAGATCTGTTCCCCCATTAACCTCCATGAGCTGCAGGGGAATCTGCTCTGGTGCCTGGAGCACCTCCTCCCCTTCTTCTGCACTGATCTCGGCGTCTGCAAGGCTGTTGCTCTCACATACTCTCACTCTTCTCTCCAGCTGCAAAATTCACAGGGTTTTTTTTCCCCTTTCTTAAATATGTTATCCCAGAGGTGCTATCACCATCACTGATGGTGTCCCTTGGCCAGCATTGACGACTGGGATGGGCTCTGTCAGACATAGTGGAAGCTTCTTACAAAAGCCAACTCCTTCTCCCCCAGACCTTGCTGTGCAAGTCCAATACATACACTTAAAAAGGCAGATGTGTAACAGTAATGCACACTTAGGTTTCTTTTAGGTTTCTAATTTTTCAGTTCTGTTGGATGACAGGTTTTCAGGCTTTCTACCTCATCAAAAGGAGCAGACAGCATTTTTTTAAGAGAAAGCTAAGATTCCCACAGACCCAGAGTTTGGAGCTTAAAGAAAACTATCACCAAATATGGGCAAGAAACCATGAGCTGGAGATGTTGAAACACTATTATTATTATCTGTTCTCATCTTGTCTTTCCCACCAGGCTTCACACCAAAGAGAACAGAGAAAATGCTCTCACCTGAGACAGGATGAATAAGCTGGTTACATTTTAAGAAGTGCCAGGCACCCGCAGCTCTGCTATCAGCGGGAAATGCAGGTGCTCTGAGAATAAGATCTGGTTGTCAGTTTTTTCCTGCTGTTGACTTGCCTTCTTGTTCTCTCTTCAGGCAGGACACAGTCCTGTTGCTTTTCTCTGTTATAATAATGGAGACATGAGGCTGTTCTCTGCCAGCTTTATCTGCAAGCTTAGGATCATTCAGCCTCTTGAGCAAGATATAAACTGTGCTTTCTGTGCTTGTGGTCTGAAAAACAGTGGTCAGGTTTAAACACCTTTTTACTCACTTTTCCCAGTTTATTTCCCACAGTAACCATGGTGTGGGAGGATGTATATACCTGTGTCTTCCCCCAGCACAGAGCTGGGATTTGCCTGGGTGAATGTACTGAGGAGTAAAGGATTACTTTCAGTTTTCTGTGGTGATCTTACTGGAAACAGCAGTCTGTGTTATGAGGTTTGGGTTCAGTGATGGCATGCCAGACTGTGCAGTTAGTTGCCTAAGCAGGTATCTGAAGTGTACCCCACAAAAAGCTCTTTGGTCCCTCAGAGGAGTGTGCCATAGTCTGACTGAAGCTGTCTGTCTTCTCTGGCTGTGGCAGAGCTAATGGCACTAGTTCTATGACTGGCCTGCCTAAAAGCTTACCTTCACTGCCAAATGCTAAGCAAGGTTTCCTGTTACTATGTGATGGAAGCAAAAAGAGTCATCTGATAGAAGGCAATGGTACCACAAATGTACCTCTGGTGGATACTCTATGCTCTTTCCTCAAGCCTCTTTTTGTAAGTAATAGGATCCCAGTGATCACTGACAGAGGTGCACATATTTCCATGCTAGAAAGGGGGATGGAGAGACCACATCTTGTCCTTTGCTAGACCTGCCCTGTTAATATGTCCTCAGTAGTTTCACAACTTGCCAACACCTGTGAACTAGCAAAAGCTGAAAAGAAACATGGATTTCTCTCCCTGCTGGTCTTGCATTGATTGCAATTAAAAAGGAGGAACTGAAAGTAAAGCTTGTATGAGTACATATCCCCCCCAGTCCAGATGAGTTCTTGCTATCTGATACTTTCTTTTTTTTCCCTTCCTTGTCACTTCACTCTGCTTGTTAAAGGTGCCAATTGTATAATTTTGCGCTACGATGTGAGAATACTATTCACACCCGTGGTAACGATGTTCCATTTTGTTGGGCTGCAGAGCTTTTAATTTCGAGTTAATACAGTATACCAGCTTTATGTCCAATGTTCTAAATGCCACAGTATGTTGATGAAAAGAAATTACATTGATGAAACAGTTAGGCAGTGATTAATATGATCCATAACTTGGAGTGATGTAACAGCCCCAGCTTTCTATCCTACACAAAATGATGTCCAATTACTTGCTATTGATCAGATATTGCATTGCCCCAAATGGGATGCCAGCATCAATTCATTTCATCATATTGAATTTCGGCCAATATCAATGGATATTTGGCACATGTTTTGCTGAAACATTTGTCTGTCATCACAGAGCTGATGAACAGGTTGGCAGGTTTTGTTTGCAAAAGGGGTGGGGAGAGGATAGGGAAGAAAAAAGAACTGTGCTAAATCCTGCTTGTGAATTTGTCCTCATACCTGGCACTGACAGGACAGGGATGGTTCCATGCATGTGCGCATTTGCTTCACACAAGTGGCTACATGCTCCTTTCAGATATGTTAACATTCTGTACTGCTCACGGCTTATTTTTTATTGATAATCAAGTGAATAATTAAAGCCCAACAGCTACATAAAAAACACATAAATCATCTTCAATATGTGAGTAATGTACCTCTGCTCAGGCATAGCTCCCATTATAAATGATGGCCTAGAAAGCCATGATTCATACCAGCGTGTATCCCTTCCTCACTCTACATTTGTCTGTAAGAGACATGTTGCCAGTCAAAGCTCAAGGAAATGGGATGGAGTTAAATAGGGTGGTCTTAAGATGGCTCTTTCAGCCTACTTTCCTATGAAGTTATTCTCTTGCTTTTACATTTCTCCTTGTCTGTTGATGTGCTGTTTTCCCAGATGACATGCTATTAGCTCTGAGCTTCCCTTTGCCCTATTTTAATAATTTTTTGTTATTTCTGCTGTTATTAGTTCACTTAGAACATTTGTTTCACTTGTATTTGAAAGGAAACCCTCTTATTGGAGTGCCCATCCCTATTATCCTCTCTGGCTAAGATCACCAGTCGTGTGACTGCCACATGGAGCACTGCTAGGCCAAATGTAACAACATCTGCCATGCATTCAACAACTTCCTTTTGGATTCCTCACACTCTATTTTCACTTCCAGCTCAGAGCAGGAGTGAGATATGTTCTGCTGTCTTTTGAATGCCAAAGTGCTGGGAATGTGCCATCCTTCCACCGCAAACTGGGCGAGTTTTGGAGACATCCATATTAAGCCAAGCACAAGAATAAAAGCGGGGATGAGCTGTCCTCAGCTTATTTCTGTTGACCTTCAAGGCACCTTCTGCCATAGAATTTTTTCCAGATCCTTGAAAAGTACAGTAGCTGCAAAATTGCCAATTACGGAGCTGTAGCTCTGCAAATGTTTACATATCTGCTCAATTTTATGCGTTTCCACAGTCCCTGGGGCTGCTTGAGGGTGTAAAATTAAGCATATACGAAAGTTTTTATAGACTCCAGCTTTCTACCTTACAGAGCAGATGGCATCTCTGTTAGCTTTGTGGAACATTATATTTAGAAACAATTCCATTTGTTATTCTAATTATTTGTTTATTGAGTACTGACAGCAGAGTTGGTATGTTGCAGATGTTGAGAAATGGCCTTCTTTTCCAAGAAACTTGTGAGTTCAGTGGAGAGGGACTACAGGGACCTGAGCAGGACAGCCTACCTGAGCTTCTTTCTTGAGATCTGGTTGGTGTTACCCAATGGCACCATTTTCTTTGCAAGATATTTCACTCTATTACACAGTAAACTACTGTAGTGCCTATAGCAAGATCACAATGTATCCCAGTGCACAGGCATTCCTTGTGCTTTAGAAGTCTTAGCGCAGACCAGCTTGATCAAGTTACTCAAACTTGAGATCAAGTATGAGAAAAAATAGATGAGATCACACAAAAAAAAAGAATCTGAATTTCTTTTCATTTCATCAGCACTTATATTTTTCTTAATCAGTTCTAGTGTACAGCAACAGTCAACTGCTAAGAGTGGAATAATAATCGCAACTGTCCACCTAGCATTGAACTTCAAAAACCCCAAACATTTTTCATCCTTACCATCTTTTAGACTATTTTTCCCAAGTGCAATTTCAAGTTCATGAGCAATTATAACTCTGTGTGTCTGCAGAGAGACATATTCTTCTGCAATAATTCAGAGGATAAAGGATGTATTCCCCTGGCAAGGCTTGCTGTACTGTGGACACTGTTCTCCGCCTGATCCTTGCACTTGTTACATCACTCAGTTTTTCAGAGGAGTAAGCCTCATCATTTCCCCTAAATCGGGGGATTAACCCCTTTGCAATGTTTCACAATATGTATATGGAAAACTGAACTATCCCAAATCAGGAGGCAATTCTGCTTTTGTAGTTTATATACTTATTTAATGAAAAGTATCCCCTTTATTTTGGCTCAAATGCCCTAATACAGGATTTAGTTCCACAGTTATTCATAACTTGATCACAATACTTGGATATTCATCTCTCTCTGCACTTCAACATGCAACTCAATTCAACTTACAAACTCATTAAAAGAGACCCTGTTGTGTGAGATGGTCAGCTTTAGTCAAAACAAATCATAGAATCAGTTAGGTTGGAAAAGACCTTTATGATCATCAAGTCCAATAATTACCCCAGAATTGCCAAGACAACCCTGAACCATGTCTCGAAAGGCCTCAACTACATGGTTTGGGGCTCTTTGGGCTCTGCCATCCAGCCAGTTTCCAATCCAGGGAAGAATCTGTCTATCTAGGCCATAAGCACCCAGTGTCTCCAGGAGGACACTGTGGGACACAGTGTCAAATGCTTTACTAAAGTCCAAATAGACAATGTCCACCTTTCCCTCATCAACCAGGTGGGTCCCCTTGTCTTAGAGGGAGACCAGGTTGGTCAAGCAGGACCTGCCCTTCCTTGGCCCTCCTTTTATTGGTAACATACTTGTAAAAGAATACTTT